TACGGAGGGGTTTGTTGAGGCTAAAAAGGCTGCTGCCAGGTAAGAGTGGTGGGGGCAGGACCTCACCCTGCTGTGTCCTGCTCTTTCCATTGCCTCCCCTCTCCCTGCCACGGTCTGTACCGGAGGGAACAAGGGTGGCCCCCAGTAAGGCTGCTCCTCCAGGGACTTGCACAGCAGCATGGAAGGAGCATAGCCATGTGTATTGCCTGTGGGAGAACATAGTGCTCAGAGCATGGGGGTAGATGGCACAGGGGCTTTCAGGGTGCAGGGTGACAGCAGCAGCAGCCCTCTGAGGAGCACTCAGGGGTGCTGTTTGTCTGAAGGATGCTGGGGCAGGCATGGGGTGCTGTACTTACTTTATAGCACTTTATCATACAGGAGCTGTGTACTACAGCACCCAGAAAAGGATCTGGTGGCACCCCAGGGTGTCGTGGAACCCTGGTTGAGAATCACTGGATTAGAAAGTAAAATTCAAGGGCCCAATGCCTGAAAACACTTCACTAGTTGACAGCTCCTCTGTGTGTTTATACTGCACACACTGTAAACAAGAACATCTATTTTCATTTCTTTCTATACAAATCTCTAACTTAAATGGATGCTTTGCTCATAGCTAGCATAGGTGAAGCTTTAGAAGGGCTTGATTCTCAAGGCTTTATGCACGTCCAAAATGTTACTGAGCTGTCATTATCCCTTACTGAAATCAATGGAGAGTAGGGAGGCTTGATTTATCTCTGTTGAGAGCCTGGAGCTCCTGCTGTCATTAAGAACAGTTGTGGAAGGCTATCAAATTAAATGGAGAACACATCCCTTAGGCTTCATTGACCAGCTGTAGTACTGAGCATCCCAGGAGGGAGAGAGAGAGAGAGAGAGAGAGAGAGAGAGAGAGAGAGTGTGTGTGTGTGTGTGTGGCAGGGGTTGTTATGCTTCTACCAGTGACTGTCAACTGAGGTGCTGCTAAATTCAGAAAAATTATGGAGGGGTGCCTTCAGGTTAATAAGGTTGAGAACCACTGTTATACAGACATGTTTGTTGTTTTGGCTATTGGGGGAAAGATGGGTGTTTGTCTGGTTAATGAGTCAACTGAAAAACACCCAGCAAATCATCCAAACTAAGAATAAACCTCCTACCATCTGTGACCATTGCCAGAAGCACTGAATTCTCAGGAGATGCAGGAAGGCAAGGGTCTTTAGACAAACGTAATTTGATCAAGGCTATCCAGTGTGGCACACTGCAAAATCAGCAGCAGATAAGACATGCATTACACACGTGACTGAAGAGCTTCCTAGTTAAGAACTGAGACCCTCGAACTGGCATTTTTAAACTCCAGTTTGCAGAAAAGATGGTGATTTTAGATTCTCCAAGCTGAAGATTGTAATTTCAGTAATAAATCCTAACAGAATTATGATATTATAGACGTGAATAAATCTATTGATGTTACAATTAAAAATATTACACATTAAAAATAATACAGTATTTAAAATACCCTTTCCAAATAACACCACAGATTTGTAAAGCTAAAAGAATCTTTGAAGTGGAATAGACTTGTCTCTTTGTTTATTTTGCACATTTCTCTCATCTTCAAGGATGAAAATAGATTTTTCCACCTCATTTTTGTTTGTTTTAATTAGTTTGTGGTCAATTTCATTTTGTGACTTATGCATCAACACAAGGCTGAAATCTGGATTGCAAACATAAGGGAGATTTGTTTGATTTTTTGTTTTTTTGGATGTCCATTGGAATGCTTAATTTTAAAAGTCTTGATTGGTGTTAAGTTTGGTAAACTAACTTTGGGGCCATATTTGATCTGACAGTGCCTTTTAAGCTGTGTAACCAATGTGAGTGTGGTATGTGAGAGCTTGCAGGAAACAGATTTTGAAAAGCTACAAAGATCCACAGGATTCCAGTTATAATTAAGTATTCATAGGGCACGCCTACACATGCATTTAAGCATGACTAAATTTAATGTGCATTAAGCTAATGCTTATTAAGTGATTTTTTTTTAGCAGGTGTCTACACATGCGTGGAGTTGGCACTAAATTTAATGCACTTGGCACTAAAGTTAATGACAAGTCCCTGAAGCTCTGCCATGTGCCCCTAGTGGCTGAGCAGACCCATCACTAAAGTTAGTGCTAGGTCACTTCTACATGTGCATTAATGCGCTTTAACTAATCATGCCTAAATTTGATACCTGCATTTGCAGGTATCAAATTTAGGTGCAGTTAGCCTAATTTCACCATTTTAATGCACATTAATGCATCTTACGTAGTTTAGTATCTGATCCTGTGCGGATCTGAGTGCTCCCCTGTTCATTGGAAGCCAAAGGTGTTCAGCAGCTTCAGGAAAAGGCCTGTTACAATAGTGCTGTTTTTATTACTCTTGCAAGTATTGACAAAAAATGTGCTGATAAAAGAACTGGTAATATGACCAGTTGCTCAATCCTCAATAACTGAGTGATTTTAAAGGGCTGTTTGTAATGTAGTTTGTTTGATTTGAAAATGGCTCTGAGAATTTAAGGGTTATCGATTACACTATCAACAGCTCAAATGGCAAGCTCAAATCTAAACACTGGCCTGCATGGGTTCCATGCACATCCTGCAGTGCTGAGGATTTTTTAGACTGGATTAGCATAAAATTCTTTAGTGAGGCAGGCCTGAAGTAAGGGAAAAACCCTCAGTTTCTTGAGTAACCAAAGTAAAAACAGAGTACTGAATTAACCCACTCATTTTCAAACAAACTCCATTCTTTCCCCATCTGTTGCTCATAAGTATTTAAGAAATAGACATTGGCAGCAAGAGTGCTTAAAATAGATTTGTGTCATTTTACGTATACCACAGACAAATTTTCTACACAGACAAAAAGAGAATTGTTTGCAGAAACGGAGAGGCAGCTTCAATATGAGAGATTCCCTTGAAATGTGAAGAATAACCATGGTGGTGGTACCAGCGTCAGTTTTCTTATTAAGAAACTAGAGCACATTAAGATTAATGCCCCTGTTTTTAGAGCTTAATAAAAGATATCTCCCATTATAAGCAAGTTGTGACAGCATCATATCTGAGTTGCGACTAAAATGTATTGTTTTTAATCTTGCTGTTGAAAAATGACTTCTTACTGGGCTTACTTAGAATACTAGAAGACTGGTGCTTTAATCTTTTTCATTTGAAAGATTGATTTAGTCCCTAATGTCATTAATAGCCTGGGGACTCTGTGTCTGGAGAGGCAGCAGGTGGTATTGGCAGAGATTAGAAATTTGTTTCTCAAAGCAGTCACTCTCTGTGATAAGAAGCCTTTTTATTTTGCTCATTGGCGGAATTGTGCTAGGTATTGACACATCTTTGGCAGTCTGTTGTAACTTGCAAGGCTTGCCTTGAACCCAACTGCAGAGAAGTTAGATGGCAGGGGGGAAAAGGAAGATGAAAATGAAAGTAGGTAAGAAAATATGCCAGATCTCATGGTAATGGTCTAGAATTGTAGCTTTCATAGGTTTATACGGTGATGGTTTATTGGCCCTGGGGAGAGAGAGAATCTTCACTTGCCATCTTGATGCCCCTTTGAAGAATTGTTCTCGAGAAAAAAGTAAAGCTCTTCAGAATTCTTGTTGACTTCCCCATAAATCAGTCCTGTTTCCCATGGGTTCAGTCCATTTGCAAAGTATGCAGAGTATTGCTTTTTGTGTGAATTAGTTAATATTAAGTCTTGCCAGTAAAAATGCAAATAAGACCATCTCTCCAGAGCCAGGGGGATAGACAATGCTACACATAATAATCAGACTCTCCTGAAGGCTTGTTTAATGACTTGGTTTTGGGAAGGAAGCAGTAGATTTATTTTTTATACTGCTGAAATATATTATTCGAGTATCAAGATTCAGAGAGAACCAACTGAATTGTGATTTCTGGGGAGATTCTGTTTAGAGAAATGGCATTTTCATTATTTAAATCAATGCAGTAAGTCTTCGCTGCATAAAAGGCATGAAATAAACACAGCAGCCTGTAGATGGGGCACTGATCTAGTTTATTACTGTTTTTGAAGGGAAATAAACTGACCCGTTCAACTAATTCAGATACTTCAGACTCTTGTTTCAATGTGTAGCCATTTTATAAAAACAAAACAGCAGCCAAGTTTTGCTGTATCTTGGAAACACTACCTAATAGTGATCAATTATTATTCTCTATTACACAAAAACATCTTTGAGTGTGTTCAGCAACTGCTAATTTGCTAGAGAATGTTCCTTCAGTCATTCAGTTTATTGAACAAACTGCATTTTCTGTTTATTTTCATGTCTTTTAAAAACATATATCCAATGGTTGTGGGTCCACATTATAATATATATTATATTACAATGTGGACCCATAACCATTGTAGCATCCTTTATTAACACAGGGCTAGAATCCATAATCATTACCTTTAATACCACGTTTCATAAGCAGGCCAATTAAAGTCAGAGGCAGTATTCACAAAGTAAGGTGGTACTGTGTAAGGATGTCATATTTTGACACCAATTTTAAAATAATACACTTTGGAGTGCTAAGTAATGCTGTCTGTCCTGTATCTGTCACAGCACATGCAGCTGCTTTCATAGCAGAAGATGTCTAAGATTGTAATTAATGCATGTCATGCATTTAGTAATGTTAATAATATATGCATAAATGGGACTGTAGTGCTGAGTTCTGGATGCCTAATCGAAAGAATCACTTGCCACAGAAAGAGATTGTGTGATGCTGGTTTTCTGCCTTTAATTCTGGCTCACATCTACATATTCATACATCCTACTCCCCCTCTCTTTCCTACCCTCCCCACTGCACACAGGGCAAGAGATAACAAGCATTCCTAGTCAGAATACAGGCTACTGACAGCATTTGGTAGCATATAAGGGTGCTTGTCTGGGGTTCAGTTATACAGGAAGTCTGAATTTAGTACTACAGGGTATCATGTTAAATCTATGCACTATATTCCATATAGTCCAGGTACTTTGGTGATTTTTTGCCTCTTTCTTTTTGCCCAAGTTTGTCCACTACCTCCGATGGTGACTCATGGAGACTATATATGCCATCCGCGGCCTTGTGAACGTTACAACCATGGAACTGTGGTTGAGTTCTATTGTGATCCTGGTTACAGTCTCACCAATGATTACAAATACATCACCTGCCAGTCTGGAGAATGGTTTCCCTCATATCAAGTATACTGTGTCAAAACAGGTAAAAAATAATGCTAAAGGAACCATTTCTGACCTTTTACAAAACCAGAATAATCCCAGAATGACACTGCCTATTGAACTCTTGTCTCATGATTAAATTTTACAAGGGAAACACTGGGTTCCAGTTTCTACCCAGGGAAATAATCCAGGACCTCCTGTCACAGCTGAATGTCCTAACTTGCTGATTCTCAGCACGGGTGCCATGAGATCCTTTTGGAGTGCCACAGAATGCTATGCAATGTTAACACTGTTAGGTGCGCAAACGTAATTCACAAGACAAACCTAACAATTTCAAATAAGACTCTATAGCATTAAAAACATTCTGAGCCATTGTGGGCTTTATGAGTTCTCTGCAACAGAAAAATTTGCAAATTTAAAAATTGAGTGAAAACTAAGGGCTGGCATTTTTGAGGGGGGCCCTGAGTTTAGAAAGGTTAAGAACCACTGCCCTAACTCATAGATTATGGAGTCTGACTCCTTTTTGCTCACTTCTCCTTTTGGCCCCTTCAGTCTTTCATTCTTTGCTGCACAGTGGCCCTGCAACAATAGAAGGCATGTAGTGTGCCCCATACAGCCTAACCTATAGTTTAGTGATTCTCAACCTGTTGCGGCACCCCACTGTGCTTTGAGATCCTATCAAGGGTGATGTAGGCTGCCATGCTAAGTTACCACTGGTAGATGTGCAGGTAGGATTCATGAGACATTTCAAATTGGAATCCATAGTGTTAAAACTACTCTGACCTGCTGGGGTCTTTCTGAGTATTTTTATAGATTTCATAGACATTAGGGCTGGAAGGGACCTCATAGGATCATTGGGTCCAGCCCCCTGCCCAAGGGGCAGGAAATCAGCCAGGGTCAAAGGACGGCAGCAAGATGAGCATCCAAATGTTTCTTAAAAGTGTCCAGAATAGGTGCTTGCACCACCTCTGGGGGGAGTCTGTTCCAGGCCTTGGGGGCTTCGACAGTAAAGAAGTTTTTTCAACAGAAGAATGGCGCTCCTATTTTTCTTTAATCAAAAATCAAATGAAAACTTAGATTTGACATTTTCCAAGGGATGCCTTGAGTCTAAAAATGTTGAGAACTACTGCTAAGGCATTTTTCTGGCAGGTGGAAGAAATAGATTTGAACTCCTGTAGCTGAGGGAGGCCTTAAATACAGAAGTGTCCTGGGGAGGTGTTCTAACCATGGGCTGTTATATTAGCAGTGGGTTGAGTCAGCTTCTTCTCCACTTGTGTTTTACAAAGACTGAACTGCGTAGTTCTTTCAGAGAACAGTTGTAGGCACCTGCCCTCTGGCTTCTGGGCTGTTGGTCCCAAGTGGATGGAGGCATCTATGTTGCATCCCTGACAGAGGTACCTAAGCACCATGGTGGGGTTTTCAGACACGTCCCTGTGCTGGACATTGGTTGACTCCAGGTGGCTCCCTGCTCAGCATGTAGATTGTTAGATCTCCTTTATGAGGCACCTAACTCCCCATGCATTGTGTAGGGAGTCTAGGCACCTAGCTTGGGGTTTTGGATTCTACTCTGAGGGCCAGGTGCCTAAGCTTAAGGAACTGCCGTGCCTAACTGTGTAGTAACTTGTGTTCTTTACTGAACTTAGCCCTCTCTCCCCATAGGTGTTGTAGGTCTCTTATCCTGATTGGGGCCTCTGCCTTCTACTGCCTTGTAAATATGAGATAATAGCAAGAATAATAATCTAATGCAATTGTTTTGTTTCCTTCTTTGTTTCAGAGCAAACATGGCCAAATACACAGGAAACCCTCTTGACTACATGGAAAATAGTTGCATTTACTGCTACCAGTGTTTTATTAGTGCTTCTGTTGGTTATTCTAGCCAGGATGTTCCAGACCAAATTTAAGGCACATTTCCTTCCAAGGTTTGTATGTTTTGCTCCCTAGAGGCTGGACACTTTAATTTAGCTCTTGCACTGAATATTCCTTGGAGAGGACACAAAATGATAGGTGATTCTTGCAAATACCCTTTTTTCTTGCATTAACAATAAAAAACAGAGAAAGGAAAAATTCAGCCTGTATGGAGTGGCACTGCTAGAATTCTACAGTACTTCTACGTTTCTCTGGGACAAGAATCAGTGGCATCATTTGCTGGATTCATTATGGGGCTGATTACAACTCTGTTATTGAGAGTTTAGGGACTTAGGTCAGATATGGGGGCTTATGTCAAACCATTCACTTTAAAATGCCAGTTTTCAGGAATTGGGTAAATAGGCTCTTTTAAATACTGCATTTTATCACCTAATGCACCCGCAAGATAAAATACACACCTTGTTTTTGACAAGCAGAATGGGAAAAAAGGGTTTTCCTTGAAAATACGGGTAAGTAGCAGTAACTGAGTAGCAGCAGCTAGGGAGCTCAGCTTGGTCATTGTGCAACTCCATTTGCAGCATTACTTTCACCTTCTGCAGAAGCTTAAGATACAGATACAGTTATTACTGCATTTTCTCACTTATAATACACACCTCAATTTCTAGTGTTGACTTTTGGGAAGAGTGTGCATGTTGTATGTGAGAAAATATGGTTTATTGGGCTTAGTAGTATAAAAGCGTAAGTGAATGTCTTTGTCCCAATGGAAATCTTTGTGTGAAAATTCTGTTGGAAGTTTCTTTTCCTAGTTCTGGCCAGCCTGTGGCATGGGCTGCCTGTGTGTATGGCACACAGCAGATCAGAGAGGGGACAGGCAGCACGGTGGCAGATAGGGCATGGAGCAGAAAGCAAAGCAGAAGGTCAGGCAGGGAGCCCAGGGCAGGAAGCAGAAGGAGAAGTAGCAGATCAAGTATGGGAAAGGGATCAGAGGGGCACCCAGGAAGGGTGCCCCATGAGAGTTCTGGCCAGTGGACCACCTCTGCACCACTCATCTAGCCCACAGGGCTAAAAGGTTGAGCACCACTGCTCTACACCATTGGGCGAAAAGTGAGCATGTCTTCCTGCTCTGATTGGTATTAAGCAGTATGCTTGCTTTCAGCATCAGACATTTTTGTGAGGCATGTTTTGACTTTGCCAGAGGGATCAGGGGCTTAGACAAAGTTAGGCACCTGCCAGTATTGATCTGGATTACAACAGAGATTAGGTAAGAGGGAGGTGGCTGGGTGGGTGGCTGAACTGTGTTGTTTTTGAGGAAATGTAATATCCCAGTCTAGACACTGGGGGAACTTCCAGGCCAGAAGGGAGGGACCTAATGAATCTTGGTGCCTCCAATGTTGTAGCTGCTGGAACATGGCCAGTTTGGCTGACACTCTGTTATTTAGGTACTTAAATGTATCCCCTTACATGCCATCATGATCTATTAGGACAATAAGGAAATTCTTTATTGTCATACCTGGGTTTAGACTTGTTCCTGGTTCCAGAGTCTGTGCTTAATCTCTTAGGTAACATACCTATCTGTCTTTTTTCTCTCTCTCTTGAGTTTTGTCTTTCCATCATTTATAGCAGGGGTGTGAAACTCATCCATCCCCATGGGTCAGATGAGGGTCACTGGACCGTGTTCAGACCAACCCCTGTGCTGCATGTGGTGTCTGTTGGGCTGGGTCTACCCCCCCCCCA